GAAGGAAGGAAGGAAGGAAGGAAGGAAGGAAGGAAGGAAGGAAGGAATAGAAATGGTTATTTATATTATAAAGAATTAAGGTCTTGCACAAGTTTTAGACTTATTATCCACTTTTTGCATTTAGTATGTATCCATAATGTATCAGTTGTGGATACATTATGCATTAAATCTGAAATAAGAGGAATGTTCCAACTATTTCAGGAAAAAGACTAAAAAGGAGGGTAGGAAAATACACTCTCTTTTAAAAATGTGCTGAAGAAACAAGTACTCTACTGTTAAGTTATGTACATAAAATATAACCTATCATCCAGAGACAAAGCATTAAATATGCAAATATGTTGATGACTGAGGAAAAATTTACCCATAAATATTTCAATATATTGAACATGTTTACTTAATACATACAGAGTAGAACATTTTAATGGCTACACAACTGAACATGTTCAACCAGAACATGACTGTGAAAGAAAAAGAAGGTAAGGAACATTCCATGCAACCATTGCAAGAGGATGTTATGCAATAAAATAAAGAGGGACATTTAATAAAACAATGAAGATGCAAGAAGTTGTGTCCCCAATGAAAAATGAGTCAGGATAAGAATGTTGGCTGATCACCAGTGACTTTGAGAGATATTTTGCTACTCCCTAATTAATTTTATCAATTAGTATTTCCCTCTGTTCCTTGAAACAGAACTATATACAGGTTTAAATTAGGATGCAAAAAAGATGTGAAATGTGAAATTTGTGTATCTAGGGCATGTTTTTTTATTACTTTGTCTCTTAGATGTTAATTTAAACCATGGAGATTCCATGTCTATGCTATTTGCCTAAATTTACTGTTCATTTAAATAGCAACTGTGGAATTAACTGAGATTTTAGGACCACCATATTGTCCTTTTAGGACCAATGATTCTTACAGTGCGAATGTTGACAGGTATCTTTTGAAGGGCCACAATAAAGATATATAACAAGAGCTTTTATCTTTATCTATCTATTTATTTATCTATCTCTCATCATTTTTGAAAAAAACTTAAAAGAGCATAAATAACAATTTTACAATAGCT